GATATTGCCTCTTAAACATTTATATTGTTAAGAGGATAGATTTATATTGTTTTTACAATGATAAATAATAGCATATCCTTATAAACATCAAGTAATCAATAATAAATAAAGATGACACTATGATCGAGATAATGGTATAATGGAAATTAATGATAAATTATTCGATAAGATGATAAATATATGAAAATAACATCAGTCTCTGATTACTTATATAATATTAATGACTTTTTTATTAACAAATGCTCATGTCTCGCGAACGGTAAGAGATGGAGTAAACTATCGTACTTTTAGTCCTTAACCCCATAGTACTCCTATATTTGAAAAATTGCCATTAATTATTAATTCAATAAGCAATTTATTTCCGATAGTGATTAATAAGGATTTAATCGTTTTGTTGATAATTAATTTAGCATTGTCATTTTAGTCTGTGATGTAAAGAGTGTATAAAATAATTTTCTCACGTTCTATTTATAAAAAAACGATATTTTTATAAACAAATGCTGATATGTTAAAAATGGTAAGAAACAAAACGAAAATAACGGTACTAATTGTAAGTTAACTCAAGTATTATTAAATAAAATATCAAGAATTGGAATATATGTAGAAATTCTTTTGTTTTATTTTGTGTACGGCAAGTAAACTTTGATGTACAAATGGATTTTAAAAATTTTATAACACATTCACTCTAACATTTGTCTATCAAATCATGTACACTACACCAGATATCAGTAATTTTTCATAAAATGTTTTCTTTCTTCGACAATAGTAATGTCGTTCAATGGTCTCAGACAGTAAAGGAACTCGCGATAGAGGAATTCTAAGATAATATAGGACCTACTCATGGATTACCTAAAGGAAGTGCTGAAAAACAATATCTAAAATTATTTCTAGATGATAATTTTTACGAAATAACAGCAGAGAAAAATAACGTATACGCTAACCAAGTTTATCAAGGTCGCCCAAATAAACGTTGGCAACCTGTAACAGCTCATGAAAATCAAGAATTTATTGGTATCAGTATTTACAAGGGAATTGTCAAATTGCAACGAGTAAAAATGTATTTTTCTGGTAATTTTCTACAGTGTCTAATAGTTGCAAATGCAATAAATTATGATAGATTCAGATTAATACAGCAGTATCTTTCTTTTAATGATGTGGACGAAGCAATAATCGCATATAAAGGAGAGTTTTCAGCAAAACAGTATATGAAGGATAAACCAACACCGTGGAATTTAAAATTTTGGGTTATCGCAGAAGCTATAACTGGCTACACACTTGATGCAAAGTCATATTTAGGAAAAAAAAAAATTAATGAAGATTTGTTGTTGGTTCTAAGTTTGTCAAATTTCTTTGACTTGAAAAATCTCCATGTCCACTGTGATAATTTTTTCACATCAATTAAACTATTTGATAAGTTATTAGAAAAAAAAGTTTATGCTTGTGGTACCATCAGATCCAACAGAAAAGAATGGCCTCAGGAATTTAAAAACTTTCAAAATCTGAAATTAAACAGAGGTGATTTTTTAAACATGCAGAGATAGCAAACTACTACAACTGTGTGGCAGGATAATCGTCTAGTTACAATTTTATCATCCAACTGTGATCCTACAGCAGTGGTTATAGTAAAGAAATATTCAAAAAAGGATAAAAAATATGTTGAATTTACTTGTCCTTTACCCATAGCTAATTACAATAAATTTATGGGTGAAGTTGATCTCGCAGACTAAAGAAGAAACATAATATAGTTCTTCGCGTCCATCAAAGAAGTGGTGGAAATATTATTTTCATTTTGTATTAAATTTCCGACTTATAATTTCCGATAGATTTTAATACACAATTTAAAAGAATAAATAAGAACGTATTGGGTCTATAAGAAGACCAAAAATGGTCTTATAACCATTCAATAAGAATTAATCAGAATTTATGAGAGTGAAAAAAATTTGGTGAATTTTATAAGTATATGTAAGAATAAATGAGAACAATATGATAAGTTTCAATAAGAAATTATAGGTTATTAATACTATTTAATTTCTGAATAAATTTTATGAGAATGTATCAGAAAAATATTACACGATGCAATAAGAATCTATAGGTGGAACTGATCATTTTTCCTTCTATCCAGTGTTATAAGATTTTGCTAGAATGAATACTATAAGACTTTATAAGAAGCAGTAAGCAAATAATATATCTCAATTTCTGAATTAATTCATAAAAAACTATTAGACCGTTCTGAATAAGATCCGATAAGAATTTATAAATAAGTGACGCCGTTTGATTTCTCATCCGAATGAACAGGATTCTATAAGACAAAATATTATCAGACTGAATGAGGACTTATTGGTAAATAATTTCCATCAACATATCAACTATTCATATAACAAACTATTAGACTGTTTTATAAGAATGTTTATAAATTCATCAAACATAAAAATGTGACTTAGAAAATATTTTCTTATTACGATATTCTCTATTAGGATTTAGCTATAGGAAAAAGCCTATAAGATTCAACCTTTTTTAATAGCCATGTTTAAGCAAAGAAAGTAATTTTTTAGTATTATTTCCTTATTGGATTTATTAAAATCCTGTAGAAATTGTTTTCTTATTAACCTAGAAAATCAGATTGCATCTATCGGATGAAGTCATGATGGAAGCATAATCCATTACATATTATTTCTATAAAATGAAAAAATGAATGAATATTATTCCTATTCAAACTTGAATCTGATATTTTACAGCATTTTTGTATTTTTAATTCCATTGCCAGTTCCCATTCCAAATTTTTATAATCCTATTCAAATTCGTTAATAGAAATAATCAGAATCCTATAGGTTTATAATATTGATTCTTAATTCTAATTAAAATCTATATTTTCCCAATAAACTTCTTATAAAAGCAAATATTCCTCTGGCTGCTCTCTAAAAAAGAAATGAGTAACTATCTACTAATTCTTAGTAAATATTTACTATTTGTAGCATTGCTCAATGACGCAATAGGAAATAGTGAAATTTCACTGGTTAAATAGAGATCGTATGGGACACAATCCCAGAGTTTCTTATAAAAATAGTTGATTTGTCGATAAAAATTATTTACCAATAAGTTCTTATTCAATCTGATGACATTCGTTCTAATAGAATCGTACAGAATCAGACGGAGAATCAAATGGCATCATTAACTGATAAATTCTTATAGCCTCTCATGAGAGATAGTCCTAGAATTTCTTATAAAAATTGTTGAGATGTTAATAAAAATCATTTACTAATAAGAATTCATTGACTTCCTACAAAAATTGTTCTAATGTTCTCCTTTTAAATAAAATAAAATCCTATCATGGGACATTGAGATAATGATATAATTTCTAAGTTGCATTTTAACTATCATATCTTTGAAAATGACAATTGTTCTATTTCTACTTAGAAATACTTGCTAGGAAGCAAACTTAATTTATGTTTAAAATATTACCAACTTTTAACTCAAATAGATTAGGCGAAAATTATGTATTCATGTTTTAGAATAGCGCAATCGGCAGCGTACTGGACTTGTGGACCCGAGGATTCCAGGATCGAATCTCACAATTTCCCTCGTTTCAACTGATTTTCTTTTGTAGTATAGAAAAGTATAGAAATTAAGATACAAAGTTATGTCGTAATCAACAACAATTAACAGAAATTCCTTAAAAAGAGAGTAGTTATTTATTTTGCATGTCTCGAAATTAAGATGGCCGTGCAAACATTGCAATAGAAATTTATAATTTATTAATTTCTTAAGAAATTTTTGTTGGTTATTTTTATTTACGGCAGACCTTCCGACATTTCTAATAATTAAAAAAAATATTTTACACCCTAAAACATCATATTTGGAATGTAATTACGAATTTTATAGTATTTTGAGATCAGCCCAAGCTTAAAAAATTCTAGATTAAAAACTTAATGTAAAAAAAAATTATACTCGCAGTCGGTAATTGCTCTCCAAGGATACACCAGGCATTAATGAAGCCGAGTGTACTTATATGTGGTGCAATTATTAAACATGAAACTAAACAATTCTACAAGGAACTTGGTGGGACACTCGCGTCATTAATGCCTGGACTATCAAAAATTTTGATACCATTCGAGCAATTATCGATGGAGTAGTCAAATAGAGATTCCACATTTAAATTAATTTAGAAAGTTTATGATTAAATATCCTTGTAGATAGTCCCTAAACAATAGACTATCCCCACTAAAAAAATTTTGAACCTTAATTTGAATAATAATAATAAATTTAGATAATAATAATTCTAATTTAATTATAAACTTAATCGTACCTCCTAGACTTGGGAAATTAGAGGAGTCTGACTATAATAGAATGTAGTAATGGAGATTCACGACATTCAGGAACAGTTTTTCTATTATTTCTGGTGCCTATAAGTGCTTAGACAGGTCCTGAGATATTCTTTTTCATGGCTCTTTTTTTTTATTTTTCGTTTAAAACTTAAGCTTCATTTTTCTTTACGTTTTTAACAATTGCGGACTCATTTCATTTTAAAGATAATGAAGAAGAAAGTTAAACGAATTCAGTTCAGCCGTTTTTTTTTCTTAGAAAAAGAGTGTAAAATAAGTTAAGTAAAAAAGAAATTTAAAATAGATTCTACTTATTAAATGATTAGCGTTGTTGGCAACGGAAGTCAATACAATATGGCTGCTAATAAGATCACATGCCTCTGAACAATTTAATATTGTTCGTAAAACGTTTAATTTATTAAAAATGATCTTAACATACTAAATTATCATTATTTCGATCATATTTGATAAATATCAAAAAAATATTGTTATAAATAACTTTATGTAACTGAACAACTTTATATTGTGTATAATAATAGTAATACATTATGAAAAAAAAATAAACGATGAAAATATTACCGATATTAATTGATGGAAAGTTGATCCTCAGGGCACAAACATCTCCGACTAATTTTTTCTGGAATTTATCATGCATCGAATTTGTATAAGATAAGTTTTTACCTCGGCGATGTGAAATTGTAGAAGTTGATTGACACGCTTCGTTAGCGCTTTGATGTAATGCTGAATCTGAATTGGCTCTCCGCCATGTGTCAGGTAAAGGTGGTGACAGGTACGTCCCACTGTAAGGTGATGTATCGTACCTTCGCTCCATCGGTCGCGATCGCATTGGACCCACACCTGGATTTTTACTTTTTTCATTCCGGTATATGAATTGGTTGTTTTGTATTTCTTCTAAGTTACTTAGCGCTGTCTGAAATTAAATAATTATCTTCGATTATTTATACTCGAATCAACACGACTTGATAATATATCAACATAAACTCAAGAGTAGTTTGTAAAAATCACATGAAATTTTTAAAAAGTGTTCAATTAAGCTCACTATCATACCCGATAATAAGTTTGAGAGATTTTATTTACAACCGCATGTTGTAAATAATGATGCATGATCTATTGTATTGTATCATCGGGTTAATTCTCATTGTTGGAAAAGCCGTTGGTGGCCAGGAGGAAATCGTTGGAGTAAGTACTCAGTAAACCTAGATATCCAGCCGTTGGTGATGGAGCAGATCAACGACAGCTACAAAGGGAGCCATTTGCTGACTCTGGGTGCAACGTGGGACGTCACTCGTAAGCTGTATCTTTATTTCTGCTAATGAATCTACTATAATTGGATAGCGAGCGTTTGTCGCGTAATTGTGATTGTATAATTTATTGATTGATTAATACTTCTTATTCGATAGACTTATTGTAAATCACGTTGATACTTGATTAATTATTGTAATGTAATTTGAGTCATTTTGGCAATGTTATTATAATTCACCGAGAAATTAATTGCGTGCTCTGTAACATTGGTGATTTTTATGTTATTTTATTGATTGAATTATTTGCTTAATCCGTCAAGTTGCGTGCAAGAGTTTGCGAGAAATTGTTGGCGATTCAATCGTGATTAGACATTCTGTTATTTAGCTGCTGACGCAAATTAAATTTATTGGTAATTATTATTATGAATATGGCGACTTATTGGAGCTGTAACATTGCAAATTAAGCAATAATTGCTGAATCCGGCCATATCTCAAAATATAAGGAATAGTTAGCCAGCGGGCGGCGTTCCAGAGTGCTGAATGAGTGACTTGGACTTCTTTCAAGTCCTTGAACGCGTTTCGTTGGCAGTAAATTATGATTTAAGTAAATTGAATATGCCGAATATATGAAATTGATTATTTAAGCGGAGTTTGAGTGATCACCAGTGGTGACACATCCCACGAAGTCTCACACTTTATCATTTTATTTGATTGTAAAAGCTAGCCGGTTCAGTATTCAATAAATTGTTTAAGTTCGTTTATTTTAACTATAACTTGATTATTTTGGTAGGTAAAACCTGATTGTCCTCCTACCTGGCGCCCGGATTTATTATAAATTTTATTAACATTAATTCGGTTTTATTCCTATTATATAAAGTATAGCAATCTGAGTGAAAATTAATTTCTCTTTAACTATAGACACTGTATCGAGGCACAACAGTCGACACAGATTGAGAACCACTCTCTGTCTATTGTAATTTTTAATAGCGACAACGGTGGATTTTATGTGTTTTCAAAAGAGCAATCCATTCTTTCTAGAAAAATGGAACTCAAAAAGTGTATTCCAGGATTTATAACGACGAAAAGGAATTTTTGACAGTTTTAATGGTAATAGAAACATACAATCTCTAAGAATGGGATACCATCAAATATCCACAGTAGCTACCCACCAGATTGGGGATTCGGGCAATCAGAATCTAGCTGGATGACCAGTGAAGTTTTCTACGAGTTCATTACAAATGTGTTCTACCCATGGATTGCTGATCATAAAATTCCTTTTTCCATGTTATAATTCGTTGATGGAGACACTTCTTATTTGAATATTTATCTATTACCTATTTGAATTTTGTAGAGAGAAGGACATTATTCTTATAGCTTTCAGCCCTAATGCTGAAAGCATTAGCATTGCAGCCGCTTGACGTAGGAATTTTCCGACCACTGAAAAATGCGTGAAAAAAAAAATTACGAATTGGCGTAAGAAGAAGTGTGGCTAAAAATTAAAAAGAGAAGAGTTTGCTTTAATTTTGAAGTCAGCCATCGAAACAGCAGTCTCGAAAAAAGTTGTTGTCAACGCTTTTCGCGGTTGTGGAATATGTTCTTTTGATCGACATTCAGTGAACTGTAAGGGTGTATTGAAATCGAGTTATAAATTCAATGAAAATATTACAGAAGAAAATAAAAAAAAATAAAGAAGAAAAGAAAAAACCGACGCGGTGGACTCATGGATAAGCGTCAGCTTTAGATAGGTCGCGGGTTCGAGTCCCGACCGAGACAAAAAGTCATTTATATGATTTTTCTCGGATCACCGTGAGCGGGAGGATCTCTTCGGAGAGCCGGTTGTATCGACACAGGTTTTCTGCAGTTTCGCTGTGTCCTCGTGCAAATGCGATACAATGGTTAGGACGTAAGTCGGCTGCAGACGTAACCCGGTATACTATGTGTGTAATAGTGTGCCGGGCAGGTAAGAAAGTGGGGTGAAACAAGTAAAGGGAGGGAAAGTAAAATTAGAATGGGAAAACAAAAAAAAAGCGGTGTGATGATGAAGGGAGGATTAGATGGGAAAATATGGAGAAAAATAAGTGTTGAGGCAACGGAGAGGGGATACCAGAATTAGAAGAGAAATATTGTAAAACGCCAAGACTCAATTGGTATACAATAAAAATAAATGAGTATATTATTAATAAAGAAGAAAAGAATAAAGATGAAATTACTGATGCTCAAGTACTTCGTGCAGTACAAAAACTGTTGCATCCATCACCTCTTAAGAAGTTCAGAAATTTTGGTGATAAATAGACTGATCAACTAGAACATCAAGGGCTGTTTAAATTTTGGACAACATTACAGCCTAACGATGATCATCAAGACACTTTAACAGTTGACCTTCCATCTGATATTAATATCGATGATAATTTATGGGTAGACGATTGTGTTAATGGTGCCGTTCATGACAATGGAATAGTTGATCTAGAAAATGTTTCAGATCAGAAAATAATTGAGAAAACACCAAAAAAATTATCAGAAAAAAATAGAAAAGTAGTAAATAATAAATTCCCATCACTTTTTAAAAGAATTTTCTACTACTAAAATGCAAGTTCAAATGAAAAAGAAGCTCTGGAAATACCAACAAATCCTAAAAATAATATTAAATATTAAATTAAAAAGCATCCTTCAACAGCAGCTGTAAATGTAGAATATGTGAATTATTAAAAAAAATTGTGTCAAGAAAAAAAAAGAAAGAAGCTATCTATCCTATCACTAGCCCTTAAAGTAATAGAAGGTCTTCTAATTCTTACACAATGATTGTTTTCTTTAATACTATTTATTTACTTAGAACACAAATCTATTGCTTCATACATCAATCGCCATATTAGCTTAACTAACTCTCTTTACTTGTATATAATATTACTGACGGGTAATTTCGCCACATTCTCCCACCTTGAGTCAGACAGACTCAACCAAAACTACTAATCACACAAGTTAATTTTACAGTCTTTTAATAATTCACCCTTTCAGGCTTCTTTACTCGACGTCCATAATGAGTGAATCTCTTCAACTAGATCAATTGGTTTACATATCTTCGGCTTGTATAATGCTTGTGCTTCAGCTGGTGGGTCTAATCTAGAGGAAAAAATTCGTTGCACTGGCCTCACTAACTCACCAGTTGCTGTCTTTACTCTTACAACTCGGATTTCTCCATCTCTTATACGGCCTAAGAGCCAATCTAATCTTTGTTAGTTGTCACTTCCGATCAAAACAACCTCTCCAAATCTTAAATTTTCGTATTTCTTAAACTTTGACTGTTTTTTTAATAGCTGTCCTAGATATTCTGTTCGAAAGCGACGTTGAAGATCATCTCTTAGCTTTTTTCGATATTTAATTATTTCATTCAAACTAACTGCATTAATCTGATTTAACTCAGGAATATCAATGTCTTTTCAATACCTAGAAACATAACTGAGCTTTTTAGACAAAGTTCTGCAGAATTGTCTGACAGGTAAGTAATAGGTCGTGTATTAATGATGGCTTCAAAATTCTATAACACTGTATTTAACTCCTTGTATGACAAACCAGATTTTCCAGTACTTTTTGGAGCAGTTCTTTCACTATCCTGACCATACGCTTCCACCATCCCCCGTAAGGTAAAACGTCGTAAGGTATCAAGGAAAGCCTCTGTAGATAGAGATGTAACCAGCTCTAGATGTAGTACTCTATATACAGCACAAAAGAACAAGCAAATCCACGTTTTCTGTCCACTTTTTAAATACAAAACCAATGCCCGTTATTTCAAAAATGTCCGCATCTTTTACTCTGGCTTCGGGTAAGACTGCAGATGGTACTTCAACATGTGAGGCTCTGAATCTTTTACATACAATACACTTGTTAATGACACCCTGAATGATTTTTCTAGCTTCTAAGATCCAAAAATTCTCTCTTAACGAATTCAGAACAATTTGCACTCCAGCATGTAATAGTTTTTCATTATTATCAGTAATTAATCGTGTAGTCAGTTCGTGCTCTAGATTCAGAATTATAGGTTCTCGGAAACCTCTTTTGTCTGAACGTTGCGATACTATCGTTTCTAACCTGAGAAGTCCCACCTCATTTATCAAAATTTTTCTATCCTTTAATCGATGATCGTGTATACCAACAAATGATGCCTTTTGTGCAAGCTTTAAAACAGGTTTTTCAGCATCAGATAATTCTTCTGCAGAAAGTTCTCGTTTAATTCATAGTTCACGTGGACTAAGCGCATTAGAAATGAATATTTTCATCCATGCTACCATACGTATGGTTTTGGAGTACTTCGAGAAATATTTCATATACCAAGCATCTTCCTTCAAAATTTTTTCACTGGTGGTAGTCATGACAATATTTTCAACTTTTGTTATCTCGTTATTCTTGACAACTGATTTCTTTAATTCTCTATTTATTTTTCGCTCATCAATAGAGAACTCATTTCTTGGCTACTCACTAGATTTATTTTCCGGCCAGCTTGGACCTTGCTACCATTTTGATTCTAAGAGTTGTTTAACAGTGCAGGCTCTATCGGGTAAGTCGGCTGGATTAATATGACCCGGGACATGTTGCTATGTCTCAGGATTACATATTTCACAAATCTCTTGCACCCTATTCCAAACAAAAATGGCTCATTGTCTCTGATGATAAATCCACGCCAGTACCGTTAATGAGTAACTCTAAAAATGTATATCTGGGTTTTCATACCCCAAAGCTTTCCGAATAAATTTCATAATACGTGCTTCTAGTGTTGCAGCGAGAAGTTCCAGCTTGGGGATACTAATGTTTTTAGATAGAGCTACTCTTGCTTTGGCCTCAACCATGTGAACTTGTACACCTCGTGTTGTTTGAATTCTGTCATAAACGACTACTGCGTAAGCTACCTAACTGGAATCAATAAAGACATGAAACGACAAATCATCTTTTTTACTTCCAAATACCTACCTTGGTATTTCCAACTCTTCCAATAGCTTCAAATTGTCATACCACTCAATAAACTGCTTTCTTGTTTCTGACTCCACTTCTTTGTCCCATTTTACTTTATTCAAGGTTTGTAGTAGCAGCTTAGGATGTATGAGGATTGGACTTGAGACACAAAGAGGATCAAATATTTTGTGTGTCATCGCCAGTATCACTCTTTTCGATATTTTTTCTACTACCGTGTTCTTACGAGACGATTGTTTTAACATCAATGTATCATTTACTTTATTTCATGTCATGCCAAGTACTGATGTTGTGTTTTGGGCTCTGCACACTCTGAAAACTCTTACCCTCGCCAATCAAAACCTCCATTCGAAAAATTAAATAAAAGAAGAAATAGAAGAACGAAAGACTGGATAATTTAGATACCAACAATAATAGTGATTCTGTGTATAATGATATAAATATTGACTTGAATAGTTTGTTTAATATTGATAATTGTGATTCAGGACATAATGATGTAAAGTGTCGTTTAATTCTTGAAAAAAATAGTGATTCGTATTCTCCAGGTGACTATGTAATCGTAGAGTACGAAGGAGAGTATTTCCCTAGAATAATATATTCAATACAGGCCGATTAAAAAAAAGTTAAAACTATGGGGTATGAGTGGCCACAATTAGAAGTGACCAGAAAGAGATGATATACTAGTTTATATAAGAACAGATGTAATTTGTAAAATTATAGTTCATCAGCCTATTAACAATCGCGGAATGTATAATGTACCTGAGAAATTGTGTCAGAGCAATGAAATATTCAAAATAACATATAAAAATCTTAAAATTTATTAACTTTATGATTATAAAGTATACATAAATAATGGAAGAAGGTGTCTTAAAATGTCCCGCCTTCCTCTGCACTGAGCCACGAGACCATTGTGCTGGGTCCCTTTGCACAGTAAAGGCGGTCATCTTATGTCTTAGGCCTGTAGGTTCCCAAGTTGCCTTGGTTTCCTTTTGAGCCTCGGAACAGTCCCTGTCAATTTCCATGGTGGAGCGAATGAACGTTATCTTTTTGCCTTCGAAGATTCCACCAGCCCCATGGTCCCCCGGTTTCCTCAGCATCAGGTAGACAAGATCTATAGGCCTGGTGTCAACCGTAGAGTTCGTCCCCCAGTGCCACAAGCAATCGTCTTATCTTCAGAGATTTCGCCAGTTACCTTAAAGGTTCTTGTTCCCTCAGCATCAGCTTAAGATAACGAGAGAGAGTGCGTGAAGAATTTTGGGATCCAGCTGTACAGAGCTCCTGCTCAGGTAAGGCTGTATATAATGGGTTGTCGCCCATTGACATACACCTTTGACTACCCTCTGAAAGGCCTCCCGCTCATCGTGGTCCGAGAAAAGACTATATCTTATAAATGGGTCTTGTCTCGGCCGGGAATCGAACCCGTTACCCATAGTGCGCCAGGCTAGCACGTTACCACTTATAGTCTAGTAGCGGTGAAATTTAATTAGCGAATTTAACCTCTCATTTTGAACCGCGGTTATATTTATATAAAATTGCACGAGGATTCTGGAAAAAAATTCACAGGCAAAAAAAATGTACGTCTAATTGAGTTTTTTTGTTATAAACAATTTTTTCTTACAAGAGACTGCACATTTTCATTAATAACTTTTCAATTATGCAGAATTCGACGATACTTCATAGGACATTTTTTCCTTACCGTCTAAAAAAGATTCCTGTCACCTCACTTTTCTTTTTTTCGGCCTATTTTATGAGAAATTCGATTTCACAAAATGAAAAAGATCGTGCTAACTATTTTACAGTTATCATGCCAATTTGTCGATATTACAGAATTCTTTCCAATCGATCTCAAAACGATTTCTTAGCATAATATTGAAAAATTTAATCGTTTTTCTTTTTTTCCTATTATTACATTATTTATTGACGATTAAAGACTTTTATCCGAAATTTTTTCCAGATTTTGTCAATCTCATATTTTATGGCAATTGATATGTGAAGAATTTATCTCAAAAAAAGTCCTGGTCGGTATTCGGGCTATGGATGGTCGGTTTATAGAAACGGGCAGTTTTGTAGCCATTAATGAGCTCATTGTCAAGTTTTGAGAAGGACTTACTTAAAAAAAATTTTTTAAATATTTTCCACTGTTATGTAATGTCGCTCTTTAAAGGTGTCAATATGTAAACCATATGCTTAACCTTAGAGACTTTAAGTTCCTCTTTTTAGTCCTAGCCTTTCGACCAATAGACAGGGATGAGGGGATCTTCGATCGAGAAAGTAAAAATGTGTGATTTATATAAAAACAATAACAAAATTTTATTGAATGAAAATTATTGAAAAATTATAACAACAATTTAAACGTTACCAACAGATGATTTCTTTTACTCTGGTCGAGATGAATTACAATTAATTGGTCCTTAGTCGATGTTCCAGTCAGCGCAATTATTCACTTTTTCTCGCGAATTGATTTAAAAATAATTTGACGATCAAATAAACTTCATGCAAAAATTTACAAACTTTGAAGTATTATCAATACAATACTCAAGACTTATGATTTCAAGAGATGTTCCACGACGATCTGATCTCGATCTTACTTTTTCGACAACTGACTGATGCATCAAACCTTACGTATTTATTTAGTCGAATGTGACATAATTAGAAGTCCCTTGCTTCAGGCGCGCACAAGTCCCTTCGCATGGTCTTTTCCCTTTTTGGAAAAGCTTAACGCTCTTCTTACGTCACGTACTCTGTTTTTAGAGTTTTATTGCTTTTCGCCACGTGGGTTTTCCAAAAGCAATAAAATATCTAAAAAATGACTTCCTCAACTATTCTTCGAAATCCTTTCTATTTTAACGAAATCTTAAGAAAACTCAAAAAAATAACTTGAGTAATAATCGTTAACCTCAATCCTTAAGTTTATCGCTATTCATTTTTAGCTTTTCTTAAAATATATTTTAAATAATTATATGAAATAATTAAAAATACATTTAGACATTACACCACCAATAAAAGTTATCAACAATAATGAATAACGATTTAATTTTCTACTCTTATTTCCTTAATATAATCAAATTAAACTTCAAAAACCTTAAATGGTTGGAACTTTTACCTTGATGTAAATGTATTCTTTTAAGAATCTATAATTTGTTTATAAAGATTTTATTCAGCATATAAGAAATGCATAGTTTTTATAATACTAAAATTTTGTTATAATTGATAAAAAATAACTTCCATTCAGTAAAATGTAAATGTTATCATCGAAAATTATGAATATCAATAAAAAATATTAACAACAAATATTCATTTTTCCTAACAGTCATATATTGTTTATGAAATATTTTATGATCCGCGATAACTCATTTTTATCGATGAGAAACATTCTGGGAAATAATTGTCACCTATGTGTTACGTTTTTCGCCTCTTGACAAAATGGAAACCAACTCTTCATCAAGGTTTTATCGATTTTTGAAAACTGTGCAAATACATATTAGAACTTAGCCCCTGGGCTTTTTTCAACCCGAGTACCTTTTCTCATATTAAGATATCCATGAAAAAATGGCACGAAACGAGAAAAAATTCTGAAAAAAGTAAACAATTTACACCCTCATTACAATGTTACGTAACATTGGACAGTGCATTTCCGTAAAAAATCATTTAAGGCTTTTTAATGTTCCACTAAGTCAATAAATATCGAAAGTTTTGCCTCAACTCTTTTCTAGTCACGGCTCTCTTAGTTTTTCTTATACTAACTCTTGTATGATAAGGTTCAATATTTGGCCTGCTTCTACATTGTATAATTAAAACATAATTTTAAATAAATTTCTACATTACGCCACTTACAAATTTTTACATGAAGTTAAAATTAACCCAACAGTTAGAGATTTTAAAGAAATTTAAGTTTGTGGAAAGTTCAATAAAAATTGGTTAATGCATGTAAAAAATTTACATAACTCGATCAAGATGACTATCCTCTGCACGGAGAGAATTTTTTCACTAAATGTAAGTGCAAAAATGACAAGCCCACGTTTCGAAATTTGTAAGTAAAAATATTATCATTTAATAGTAAATGTTGAGTTCTTGTAAGTAGACTTTAGACTTAAAAAGTGTTAGTGAAAAAATTCTCTCCGTGTACTATTCTTCTAATTGATGACTGTCATCCTCTCAAGTCTTGTCATCAAGTTTCTTTTTTTTGTGGTATCTTCTTCTACTTTACTCTGAGTAAGTAATCGCATCGAAAAAATTTATCTGTACCTACGTACGCACATGCACATATATACATCCTCTTAAAGTGATGGTAACAAATGAATTTTTTACTTATCCGTAGTATTGACTCAAAAATGGAATAATTTCAGTAAAGATGTTATCAGGATACGATGAAGGCCAAGACTTTTCAATATAGAGGGAATAAAATTACGTAGTCATCGTAGATATATGTTTTTATTAGTAATCCTACACAAGAAAATTAGAGGTTTTTACTTATTATTACGTACATTTAATTTGACTCGCATAAACCGCGCAAATAATGAAAATAAATTATTGTCTATTCTAATTTATGATCTACAATATTATCCGCCCACATCCCGTAGCTAAGATCTTTATAACCTTCTCTTTAGTTAATTTTTAATATTCTATTTTTCCGCTTTGCTGAGAATAGACGTATTAATTTGTCTTGGTAATTCGTAAGAATTTTGTACAAACCATTCCAATAAATAAATTTGTATTAAAAATACTTCTTAAAATTATGGGGCGACTCCTTAGCTGTATTTTTCTCAGCCTTTTTCTTCAAACTTCTTTCATTTCTGCTAAGGTTAGTGAATAAAGTTGATCAATTGAAATCATACAATTACTTTTGAAAAAATTTAATCCAACCATTTAAGGTAAACAAACAGAAAACGTTACAAGCATCATAAACTTATTCTATATCAAATTTTAAAAATATGGAAATATTATTATAGCTACCAGACTGGGTAACTCCGGAAATGGTCGCAATGGTTGCAGATGATAAAGCTAAATGCATGGCTGTACATGGGACAACACAAGGTCAGTGTACTATCAAAAATATTACCCCGGATGGATATATTACATTATAAATAATCAATCTATTATATCACAGATTTAATCGATTCGGTAAACGATGGAAACATTCCAAATGATCCTAAAATTACATGCTACATGTATTGTTTATTTGAATCATTCAGTGTGGTAAGAAAATGATTTTTTTTAATATTTATACTATTCTTTGTCTTTTCTTAAAATTCTGTCGCTGATTTCAAATTAACGATATTGATTACGAAAGATTGATGAAGATGGTCAGCTTGAAGCTGAAATGCTAGCGGGGTTATTTCCAGAAGACATCCAAGCTAAAGGGTTAAAAGTACTTCCACCGTGTGCGACTCAAGGTAAGATGGAAGATATTGTTCCATAAAACAATAGAAATTCAGTATGTATATAAAACTACATTCTTGTTAACTCCTAAAAAAAAGTATTTATTTTTCTACTAACTCCTAAATAGTAGAAAAATAAATACTTTTTTTTTAAATAGTTTTTGTCCAACTTGAGTCGTGATTCTATTAATTACGAAAATAATTTCTAAACACAATGACGATGACTTTGTTAATTACTGTACACATAGAGAAAGAAGGAAAAAATGTTTCATCAATGCACTCAAATAAATTTTATACTAAGTTCGAATATTTGAAAAATGAATAACAAATTTAATTTACAGATGGCGCGGATAATTGCGAAAAAGTATACAAAATAGCTACATGTATACTTAAGGCTGATCCTTCGGTAAAATATTGTCTTATATTTTTTGTTATATTAATGTTAATTGAAAGTCGATCTATTGTGTTTGGTTTCAATTAATTATTGTATATTTAATTATTACTCTTTTCCAGTTATGGTTTATGTTATAATGATTGATGACGGAAAATCGTATTTTGAATCAATAAGGATTAAAGAAGAACGTCAGAGAAGTATTCTTATAAATGTAATGGAACGTAAATGTTGATTATTCTTTCATAAAAGTAACTAGCAAAAAATTTTTTCGAGATTTGAAAAAAAAAAACTTCCTAAAGCAATTGTTTATTAGCAATTTATCCATTTATCATTATTAATTCATTGAGAAATGTATATTTACATAATATCATAGAATAAAATATGATGAAAATTAATAAATAATGACTAAGGAGCTGGATATACTCAGAATAGAATTTATTAATTTACGTAAAATTATGGTACATACCTTTTCAAATAAAAAAAAATTGAATCCACAGTGATATAAAGAGGAATTCACTTATATCTTATGCGACGAATAACAATATATATATTATTCATAGACATCAATTACAAATTAATTAATGTCATAAGCATGAAATCACATGCAAGCTTTGTTACTACAAAATACAATAACCAATAATAACTTCCCACTGGAAAGTTAAAAATTGTGAACAAAAAATTAGACAAATAAACCATAAGCCACAAACGATGTCTAAATTGATATTGAGATGATCATGAAGTGATATTGTATGTTTTTTCGACTTCAAAAGATTCACTTTTTCAGCACTTCAAATTCGTCTCATAATCAATTTGAAAACTTGTCTACTATTGAAATGAAACTCTAAGTCATTAGAACGAATTTAATACCTTAAAATCAATTGGACAAATAGCGGTAGAATTCGGAGAAGAATCTTTTGTTGCTTGTCGAGTTGTGACGTTGTTGTTTACATTGGGCAAAGACCCACCGGCTCTGAACTGATTGCCCAAATTAATATGAAGATGCTTGTTGCCACTGGATTGGGAAGGACTAGCACCAGCACTCTGCACTATTAACGGAGTCTCTTGTACACCACTTGTTCCAGTAGGACTTGCACCTACTGAACTGCTTGCTGATGCAACCTACCACAATTGGTTTCGTTTTTATACTCGCTTTTATATTTAATCTTTGTTAAATACATTGATCTATAAGTATTGGTATTTGGAACGATCAGTTGTTGAAGGACCGTGAAGTTTAATAATAAAGTTCATAAATTTTTTCTTCATTTAATTACATCTTTTTGGAGCATGAAGATCGATGAAGCTTAATATAATTTGAATTTTAAAGAAAGCTTTTAATAATTTATTACTGTGTTCTAACATTTCGAGTCAATTTGAAAAAAAAATGATTTCTGACAAGTTTCACAAGATCACATCTTTTCGTTTTTTAACATCAAAACCTTTACATGTTCGAAAATGTATATTAATGTAAAAATATATTTCACAAGTGTAACTAGTGAAGTCGCTCACAAGTACGTAACAAATAAATTCTATCATGTGAAATTTTAAGTAAATTGTCTCTTTTTATATTATTTTTGGTCGATGACTACTCATCTGAACATACATCTATTAGAATTTTTAACTCACGACGGTAGTTTGAAATGAAATGATTGGGTTTATAGTTCATCTCTCTACTCTAAGTCGGCTTTGATTTAAATCCCAATAGTATCATAATATTTATTTTTGTTCAAACACTGCCATTTTCAAACGCCTGATCATCAGTTTTTTAGTGTCTTTGGTAAATGCAAAACAGTTGGATAGTTGTAAGTCGATTACAACCGCTGGGAGAAAAATTTCAGGACTACTATATATTGAAATTCTCTCTAGTTAGAGTTTACAAAACTATTTTGGTTTAATTAATCCTAAATTTTCTTATTTCTCCAATACTTCACGTAAATTTGTCTAACATAAGTTAACACTGCTTGAATTGTCAATACTATAATTAAATAATATTACATGAACAATTCTCATAGAAATAGATTTTGAAATTTTTTACCTTACACTTGCATTTCCAAAACATATTCACTATATATTAACTTTATTATGATAGAAATTAATAAGTAATATTGAATACTATTAATTCAATGTATGTAATATCAGTGATGTCAATAAAAATAAACACTTAACATTTTAACTTTTAAGTTTACCCCAAAAACAACAAAATACAATAAACAACGTTTAATTATTAATTTAAAGTTTAGTTATATTAAATTATTCATTCTCATATAATAAAAACTACACAATTTTACCGTACAGTTTTACTCTATACCCAGAGTCAAAAATTGGCATTGAATTATCAATGGGTGCTTTCCATTTAAAAACGCAACTCGACACAGTGTTGAGTAGTGTTTCTGAATGGAAAGCACTCAATCTAAAGTAAAGTTATGTTAGCGTATGAATTTCACGTGCATAAAAACTAAAAACATATATCTTGAAATTTTACTCCAAAGACAGCGGGTTGTTCAAAGATTTACTTAATCGGTCATTATTTGTTCTGGAAACTTAAAAAAAAATTTGGTGTTTCCCTGAAATTGATCATGATTGCATTTTCGAGTACTCAAGTTACTAAGAATTCAAGTAAATTATTTAGGTTCCCTTTTTTTTACCGATTGATAATTGGTACTTTAGGTTCTTTTCTACAGGCACGATAAATTTACCAATTTTTCCGACGTTCTTCGATGCTTTCATATTATTTGAGAACGTTATTTTTTCAGAATGCTAAAGATAGTCGGCATAAAATATGTAACAGGGAAATATAGTGGTTTTTCTCCATGAAGAAGTCGGCCTATTTACTTCCTGAGATACCTGTATGTAATGGAATCTAAAGAAATCATTCTAATTGTACAGCTACTACAATACTAAATAAAAAAATGTTTGACTTCTAGGATATACAAATTATTCTTAAGAGTAGATTGAGTATTTTTGAGGCTCTGAAAGGCACTGAGGAAGTCAGAAAATATGATATAGTTACAATTATAGAGTTTTAATACTATTGACTTCAAGGGCAATACATTGAGCGGTATAGACTGAAAAGTGTGAGGATATTAGGGTTGACGAACAACTTATCCAGGGTACGAGATCGGGATTTTCTGTTATAACGTTGGCTCCCTTGTACGTGCGGCATAGAGAGATAAAAGATATAACTTCCTGTTATCTTTACACAAAACATAATTAGGTTATTAAGAGTTCCAAAATTTGACATTAGTTGGGAGGTTTTGCGGCTGTCCGGGAGGATGGGCCAAGTGCTCGTGTCATCTTACTTTATTTTCTTCAATAAAAAAAAAAAAGTTAATCCAATCGTTTGTACCATGACGAATGAGAACTGATTTTAAAGGCCAATGCCATCGTTCAATCATGCCGTTTGATGCGGGATGATAGGCTGTCGTTCGTGTGCGACTGCATCCAAGTAGTTTTGTGAGAGCGTCAAGGAGTCTTTATTCAAATTGAGCACCTCTATCGCTTGTTACAGTTGCTGGTGTGCTAAAACGGTTGACCCAACCAAAAAAGAAAGCGTTGACAGCTGTATTTGCTGTGACATCCTTCAGAGGGATAGCTTCCGGCCAGCGTGTAAATCAGTAGATCATGGTCAAACAGTAACTATATCTCTGGCATAAAGGCATAGTGACTATGTCGATGTGGACGTGTCTAAAACGTTCACTAGGAACTTCAATATGCTGTGGAATGTTTTTCACATGACGATGAATCTTACTTCTTTGACAATCTAGGCAGTTGCATGCCCACAGCGTGATACCACGATTCATGTGAGACCAAACAAAATGCGAATTAATAAGTTGTTTGGTTGCTCGTCTATTTGGATGAGATAGGTTATGTACATTGTCAAAGACTTGTTTTCGGAGCGCAGATGGAATGTATGGTCTACTTTTATCACCTGAGACGTCACAAGAAATTACCTTTCCAGATTCATCGACTTGGAGTTGTTGTAGTTGAAGTGAAGTTGTGCTCGAGTTCAATACATGTTGAAATTTTCCGACCTTTTCTTGCTCAGTAGCAATATTTTCTGTCGAGATTATGACAGGCATATGAATAGAGTCGATTCTTGATAGCGCATCCGCGACTATGTTATTTTTTCCAGAAACGTGGACGATTCTTTTTGTGAACTGACTAATATAATGTAACTGTTGCTGCTGTCTTGGTTAAGCCTTGTCAGAATCCGGATTGAAAGCAAACATTAGTGGCTTATGGTCCGTGATCACTGTGATTTCGTGCCCCTCGATCAAGTGTTTGAAGAAGTTGATTCCTTTAAAGATTGCAAGAAGCTCACGATCGTACGTGCTATAGTTACATTCTGTCTTTGTAAGTTTGCTCGTGTAGAACCCTAAAGGTTGTCTTACTCCGTCGATAATTTGATCTAGAGCTGCGCCAACCCATTCATCAGATGCATCACAGCGGACAGCTTTTTTTTTTTATTGAAGAAAATAAAGGAAGATGACACGAGCATTTGGCCCATCTTCCCGGACAGCTGCAAAACTGTAGTCCCAAGGGAAGGAAATCGGGCTACAAGGTAGTTTAATTGTAATTATGTAATTAACAATTAGTAAGCAATTATAATAATAGGTAATTAGTTTTAATTATTATTTATTTAAACAATATACTTTTTTCATGCTACAGCTATAGCGTATAACAATGAACTATATTTTATTCGATTGCCACTAGCGGCGCTAGGCTCTTGTGCCGTCGTACCGACCGAGTTGGTTGCGGTCGAGCCGCCACAAAACCTCCCAACTGATGCCATCTTTTGGAACTCGTAATAACCTAACTATGTTCTATAGAAAAAATAACAGGAAGTTATATCTTTTATCTTTCTATGCCACATGTTCAAGGGAGCCAACGTAATAACAGAAAATCCCGATCTAGTACTCTGGACAAGTTCGTCGACCCTTTTGTTCAACTAATTAAAGAAATCTCTCATTCATTGTAAACAATCAATGTGGCAAAATTACGTTACATAAAAATCGATTGATTGAGTGAAGTTTTAAATAATAGCTTCGTCGTCCAAATGACCCAATTCTAGATATGCAATACTCGACGATAAAACAAAAAAAAAGTAATCAATTTCTGTGTATTATTAAAAAACAGTGAAAATAAGAATTCTCAAGTGAAATGCAATTTATGTTTATTTAAAGCGAATACAATTATGATGAGAACATATTTGATTACAATTAATTACATTTTTATCAGTAATACAGAAAATTTCCTGTTAACCGAACTTAAAGTTATCACGTAGATAGAAATTTTCAATCAATGTTTGTAACAAATTCAATTGTCATAAACTAAAAAAGTTAATTTCCATTCATGTAAAATGGTTAGTAAGTTGTTTTCAACTTAAAAAAAATACTCCGTGTGAGAATAAGTTTATTTTATGATTATTCTGTATTTATCACAATATCTATTATTATTTAATCAGATTCTTTCTCTTCTTAAATTAGTTTTAAATAAATATTATGATTCATATTTAAAAATTAACTAAATTTATGTTTCTTATAATTTATATTTTAAAATAGTCTATAAATAAATGATATTATTTGCATTTTTATGAATATTAATGTATGAAAGACATAAACCATTCATTCATTCAATTGATATACTGAGAGTATACCTATGTATATCGTAGAAAAATTGTGGCCACAAGAGAGAGAGAGAGAGAGAGAGAGAGAGAGAGGTCCGCGTCAGATGGCATTTAGATAAGACTGACAAAGAAGAAGCTAGACATTCAGTTGGAATGTGCGAAAAACGGAATTAGGGATGTGGCCTAATCTGTATCTTGATGAATACACTCGGCTTCATTAATGGCTGGTGTATCCTTGGAGAGCAATTACCGAACGCGGGTATGATTTTTTTTTACATTGAGTTTCTAATCTTGAAATTTTTAAACTTGGGCTGAACTTAAAAATCTATAAAATTCGTAATTTCATTCCAAATATGACGTTTCAGTACGTAAAAATTTTTTTTCGTCTTAAAGGGGTACAAAGTTCTGTTGTGATTAACAAAAATTAGCGGAAATTCCTTAAAAAAAAGAGTAATTACTTGTTTATTTTCCATGTCTGGGAATTAAGATGGTCGTA